CCTATAATAACGCCCGAGGCCCTGCCAGGCCCTTCTCCGGGCTGGACGGAGCCCCCAGGGCACCCGCACAGGACGAGGTAAGAAGGACCCCTGAGTGTGGCGGGCCGGGAGCCACCCAAGGCTCTGCTCCGGAAGTGCCTCTGGACGCCTCATCTCCAGGCCGCACACGACACCCCCTCCCACCATCCTGAGCCTCAGCCTGGAGGAAGGGAGACGCTGCCCGGCCACCAGGCGTGGGCCTGGGCCACAGAGGGACCAGGCACGCATCCCCGCCAGGACAGAGGCTGAGGCAGGGACACGCCCACGAAGCGTTAGGGCCTGTGGGGCAGGTTCTCCATGTCTGCTTCCCGAGGTGCGGCCCTTCCTCAGCCGGGTGATAAGGCGGCGAGACAAGGTGCCCTTCGAGCCACACCATGTGAGCAGAGCCAGATCTGAGCTGAGGGGCCCCAGCTGCACCCACATTGTTCAGGCTGCCTGCCTGGTCGGGACCCACACATCACGCCCATTCCTGTGGGCACAGAGCTCCCAAGGCCAGGAGACCCTCCGCTCACCACCAGCCGGGACCCACCAGCCCTGCCGCCTCTTAGTGTCCGCGGGCCCTCCCGGGACAAACTCGAGGGCAGGGCTGACCCCCCTCCTCCCCAGGCTCTCCTTGTCGCCTCACCAGGCTCGGGGGGTCTCAGCTGTGAAGTCCTCAGGGATGGAACCTGCTCCCGCCCCCGAGCCCCTGGGGGAGCCGGTCTTCAGGACAGGCAGGGAGGGGCCGGATGGGTCGCGGCATGCCTGCAGTCCTCATGCCCAACACGGTGGACGTCACCCAGAGGGGAGACCCTGGACCCGAGGGCCCCCAGTGTCCTGCCCGCTCCTCTCCAGCAGCTCCGCCCTGGGCTCCCGCGGTGGCTGCTCCCTGCCGCTCCGGCGCTGGGGACCCTGGAGCTCCATGATTCTGCCCTCTTTGGGGGCCTGTACACTCCCCCTGCACCCCCAGACCCATGCGCACTCTCAGACAGCTGACACTGGCAAGAAGGCCACCACGGGCTGAAATCACTGCTCCCCCCCACCCCCTGCCAGACAAAGACCAACCGCAGGGCTGCTCTTCCAGGGGGACCCCCCCAGGTCTGCAGGGGCCCAGCTCACCACAGCTGGCTGAAGCCCTTCACCAGCACATGGGCCTGTGCCCTGCCTGCCCTCAGCCTGGCTGAGGCTCTCCGGTTCCTGCCTGCCAGGCCCCTGTCTCCCAGCCCCCACGCCCTCCCTGGCCTCCCTGGAGTTCCTGGGACAGGGCACCAGGCGCAGGGGCCGCAGGCGAGGCAGCGAGTCCCCCAGGCAGGGAGCCAGGCCCCAGAGGGGCGGCGAGGCCGGCAGGGAGTGAGTGAGTCCGGCCAAAAGTGGGCCTTGCGCTGCACCCGCGAGATGCCCGGAGCTGGCTCTGCAGAAGGGTCGGAGGAGGGGGTGCAGGAGAACAGGAGGGCACCCCACACCCTCTCTGGGAAGCAACAGCCCGAGGCTCCCGGAAGCCTGTGGCAGGCCCCACTGTGCCGTGAGCACCCAGCATCCCACACAGAGACCGCCGGCGGCTCCGGGCACCTGTCTCCACCAGCAGCTGCAGCCGGCGCCAGCTTCCCAACTGGCCCAGTCACTTTGAAGGGGGAGATGCCCGGCTTCGGGCTGGGGTGCCGCCTGGGGGGCGGGGGCCATTCTCTCCTCCAGGAGGGCTGTGCCCCCACACCAGGTGACCCCTTTCTCAGAAGTACCCCTGCTCCCACCCCAGCCCGGCCCCTGCTCTACCTGGGGCAGGTGGAGGGGCCGCGGGGCAGGTGGGAGGGCCAGGCCCCACCCTTCGGCTCCAGGCCCTCGGCTCAGTGGTCATTCTGTGGGTCTCT